AACTTTCTTTATGTATGCAACAACAGCAGCAAGAATACTTATTGCAAAGTATTGGAAGACACAAGAGCTTCCCACACTGGAGGAATGGCAGATGAAACTGATGGACTATATGGAACTGGCGGAAATGACTGGCAGAATCCGCGACCAGGGAGAAGAGTCGGTGGAGGAAGATTGGAAGAAATTCAAAGACTATCTGCAGAAACATTGCAAAATTAAAGAATGTTAGAGTGATGTTGGATTGAAAACAAGTGGCTTCCAGCTGTACAGGATTTAAAGTTATAGATAGATTAAGATTAAGGATTAGGATTAAAAAAGTTTAAGGAAATGGAAACTTGGTTTTTAAGAGGTAAAACTTTAATGGTATATTATATTAAGATTAAAGATTGGGATTAAAAAAGAGGGAAAGAAATTGCTGGACAAACAATTTGAACTGGAATACAAAAGAGGGAGGTATGAGGAGGTCCAGAAAATAAGTAAACTTAAAAATGGAGATGAAAAGGTGATATTGTTTTTAACTGTTTTTCTTTTTTCTTTTTTTTTCTTTTTTGGATTATGTATTGTGTATTTTTGAATTGTGTATTTCTTTTCTATGTTTTCATGTTTAATCTTTTATTGATGTGTTCTTTTTATTGGAAAATTTAATAAATATCTTTAAAAAAACAACAACAAAAAACAACCGCTAGACGAAGAGACTCGCGGAACGGATTATTTTCGTCTTGCGAGGCACCACTGTAACATTTTATTTTTTTTAAAAAACATATCATCCTTGAAATCCCTCCCATTTCCCCCTCCCCCAAAACACCACAGCAACACCCGTGTTCCAATAATCAACATACTGTACTATAAAATAAATAAGACAGTATTGTAGATGATAAAAAAATGAACATTTTATTTTTTTTCTTCCCTGCACTGATGATAGTCATTGTTTGGATGGGGGGCTTTTATCCATTTCCACAGTCACACAGTCAATCAATCAATCAATCAATCAGTAGCTGAACTGGGTTCCACACAGTCACAAAAACAAATGAACCAAAAAAGCCACAAAAACGCAAAATAAATAGCAAAAACAAAAGCGCCAAACTTAATCCGTTCCGGAAGTCCGTTTGACTTCCAAAAAGTTCGAAAACCAAGGTGCGGCTTCTGATTGGTGCAGGTGCCCCGGAAACAATAGCCGACAGCCGCATCGGATGTTTGGCTTCCCAAAAACATTCGAAAACCAGAACGCTTATGTTATGTACTGAGTTGAATAGGATCCAAAATGCAGCAGTCTGATTGGTCCTAGAACAATGCAGCAGTATGACTGGTCTGCAGGAGCCACCCAATCCGGCTCCAGATGGAAGTGAATCCACAACCTGATTGGCCTACAGGAGAATTCCGGAATTAGCCAATCACGTGCAGCCCATTGTGTAAATAATGTACCGTATTTTTCGCTCTATAACACGCACCCGACCATAACACGCACGTTTTTAGAGGAGGAAAATCCGTAGGCATGCCACCCGTAGGCATTTCCTCCATAACACGCACAGACATTTCCCCTTACTTTCTAGGAGGAAAAAAGTGAGTGTTATGGTGCAAAAAATACGGTATATAAAGCAGATACTTTGAGGGGACTTCCATTCCTCCTCACCACTATGAGCTGAATAAAGAGCATGAAATCCACTCTCGACTTGGAGTATATTTCAACTTACTTCTGGGTTTTCGGTGTTTGAGAACCAAGGCATTTGAGAACCAAGGTACCATTGTAGAAATGCCTACGGCAGGACTATTCTTTAACTTATTAGTTGCCAAGTTAAACCTGTGATCCGTGTTGTTCCAGGTTTTCGGAGTTTTGAGAACCAAGGCATTTGAGAACCAAGGTACCACTGTACTCATAGCGTGACGGGGATCAATGCACAGGAATCAGAGCAGCAGAACCCCTCACCAGAGCCACAGGGGCTCTTGTCCCCACAAACACGGCAGGCTTCGAGGTGCAGGGAGCAGGATGAGGGGCAAGCTAGGAAGCTGAGGCAGGCAAGAGCCCACAGCCCAGCTCCCTAGCTGGCCTCCCACCACTGGGAAAAGGTGTGTGATTCCTCAGTTGGAGTAGGTTCAGGACAGGTGAGGGTCACACCTGCCTCATCAAGCCCAGATGCTGCAATCACCACTCAAAATATTGTTACAAAAGTGGGGTGCTCTGCCAAGTGGTGGCAAGATCCCATGGGGTCCCAAGCAATCACACAGGGTCCAGGGCCGGATTTAGGTTTGATGAGGCCCTAAGCTACTGAAGGTAATGGGGCCCTTTATATGGCCAGCTGTCCTTTGTCAACAACACATTGTCGCTGTGTTTTGTGTTGAATATATGCCCTATGGTAATTTATGGACCTCATAGGTATCTCAAGCCATTTGCACATAACAAAGAATGTATTTTATCAAAGTAATTGTTGAATTGAAATACAATTAAGAAGTATATTAATAGTGAAATACAATTAAGAAGCATATTAACAGTAAAATAATTAAGCTCTAACTTAAAATGATTTTTTATTTATAACAAACTTAATAATGCAAACACATTGGCATTTGGCAGTAACAAAAGTTCCTTTAGAAACGCAGTTTGCAAAGATTCATAATCTAGTCTCTAGAAACAGGCCATAACATGAAATAACGTGTGTAAATATACGATGCAAACTACAGTGGTACCTCAGGTCAAGTACTTAATTCGTTCCGGAGGTCCGTACTTAACCTGAAACTGTTCTTAACCTGAAGCACCACTTTAGTTAATGGGGCCTCCTGCTGCTGCCGCGCCTCTGGAGCATGATTTCTGTTCTCATCCTGAAGCAAAGTTCTTAACCTGAAGCACTATTTCTGGGTTAGCGGAGTCTGTAACCTGAAGCGTATGTAACCTGAGGTACCACTGTACTAATAATTATAAATAGCAGAATGTAGGCACATAGAAATGTAGGCATATAGAAATGTAGGCATATAGAAATGAGCAAACCAGTGATATTTTAGGGAGCAGGCTAGCAGGCGGGGCCCATGACTTACATCATAGGAGCCAACATAACAAAAAATGTAGGTTTTCTTCTATTTGTTTTTTAACTTATATTTTGGAAATGTACACCCAGTTTTTTTCCCTTTAATTTTTTTTGGGGACCCCTAGAGAGTGGGGCCCCAAGCTATAGCTCGTTTAGCTTACATGTACTGTAAATCCGGCACGGACAGTATCCTGCTCCTTTGGACGACTGAGGGCATGGTGGAGACGGTCACCGCTTTAAGAAAGATGGTTCATTCACCTTTTTCCCCGCCTTCAGTCTGCATGGAGGGAGTCCAGATCTTACGCCATGGTGATTTCGAGAGGAGCTTGTACCCCGCAGCAGTGCAGGCAGCCTTCAGCCAGCCTGCCCAAGATGGCTCTCCACTCTTTTGAATGCTTCTTCTTCTCAACAACCCTTGCTCCTGTCACCTCAAACAGACACACCCTCACCGCTTTGGTAAGATCTCATTCCCCAGGCCAAAAGATTATTCCCTGATGGCCCATCCACTCTTTTTGTCATGCTAACAGATTTGCTCTTTGCCAAGCCAACCAGGCTGGTTGGCATAAACCAGCTCAGGAATTCTGTCTGGGGCAGCTCTGCAGCTTGTACTAGCATTTATTCATTTCTTTAATAATAATAATTTATTATTTATACCCCGCCCATCTGGCTGAGTTTCCCCAGCCATTCTGGGCGGCTTCCAATCGAGTGTTAAAAACAATATAGCATTAAATATTAAAAACTTCCCAGAACAGGGCTGCCTTCAGATGTCTTTTAAAGATAAAATAGCTACTTATTTCCTTGACATCTGGTGGGAGGGTGTTCCACAGGGTGGACGCCACCACCGAGAAGGTCCTCTGCCTGGTTCCCTGTAACCTCACTTCTCGCAATGAGGGAACCGCCAGAAGGCCCTCGGCGCTGGATCTCAGTGTCCGGGCAGAACGATGGGGGTGGAGACGCTCCTTCAGGTATACAGGACCGAGGCCGTTTAGGGCTTTCAAGGTCAGCACCACAGTTTAGGGGAGTCCCCCCCCCCAATCTATAACAATATAAAAGGGAAGCAGAGCTGTCTGCTCAACTGCCCATGTTGGCAACTCTTTCTATGGGTGTACATACACCAGGCATAGGCAAACTCAGCCCTCCAGAAGCTCTGAGACTACAATTCCCATCATCCCTGACCACTGGTCCTGTTAGCTAGGGATGATGGGAGTTGTAGTCCCAAAACATCTGGAGGGCCGAGTTTGCCCATGCCTGACATATACACACAGAAGCTACATAGAACAGGTGACTGACCATTTTTTGAAAACTTATGCCAAGTGGAGATGTTGGCTTTTGACCTTGACACAAGCCAAGGAGCTATTTGGATGTGATTTGGTAGGCAAATTGAGTTTAAGCAGCTGGAGAGCATTAGTCAATTGGTTTTTTCATTACACATACATTTTGATTTTTTTTTAAAGACACTGCGTAACAAAATAGGCCACTGAAGAAGGCAGAGCAGCTGAAACGTGTTTGGTTTTTAAGCGATCTAGAAAATTGGATTGATGGATGTTAAGAACATATTAAGCAGGCATTTTAGCTGTCTAAGGAATATGACTAAATATAGGCACATTTCATGCACCATACAGAGGTTTTCTTTTTATACAGTTTATTGCATAGTTCCTCACATGTTGTGGATATATTATTTTGATGTATGTAGAGTTTATTGATTTATGTTGATGTATCAATGTTTTATATTTAGAGTTTCATTTCCTGGATTTTTGTATATTCCTGTCTTTTCTGCTATAAAGGTTCAACCCAATTTTTATTTAATAATTTTTCTTAAGATTTCTATGGGCATCACAAACATTAGATTTTGTGTATATTTGTATATAGACCTCTACTTTTACTTACCCAGAATTTGTTCAACAGGTGCGAGAAAAGGAACCTTAAAACACATTAAGGCACACCTCAAAAAAACGAGCGAGGGGGGAAAGAACGAACAACGGAGTCCTTAATTAAATCAAAAATCCTTTAATAATTATTAGCTAGAAAGTCATAATTAATGCTGAAAGGGTAAATTGATTAAATACGTCATTTAAATCTGAAAAAGCCACTTTTATTGCAAAATAGCATTATATATTTTAAGCTTATTTGTTGAGAAATGAGTCCCATAGAAAGATTTCAATATAGTATATCAAAATGCTTGAAGAGTATTCATCACAATGGCTTTTATATACAGTTTTCTGCTGTTTCGTGATACGACCACAGTTAAGTTCATCTGTAAAGGAAAACGTTTCTTTACAAAATAATCCCACAGGTCCGGAACAACAGCAAAAACAAAACAAAAAGTGTGAAAAAACCAAGTTTGGTCACTTGACATAAGATATCCACCACATCCCTTTCGACAGCCCGGTTCCATTTCCATTTTAAACAAAACAATAATAATAAGCGACATCTTAAAATCAGTGCATTAAAAAGTGTGTCCAATAATCAAACATTCATTTGACACGACAAGAAGGAAGCAATACTCGTTTTAGAGGGTTTCCGAAACAGGGAGGTCCAAGGAATACGCCAAAGAGATGCCAATCTGATGGGCAAGATCCGCTGCTGCAGTAGGAAACTGAGAGGGGGCTTCTGGGTAAAGGAGTAAAACCAGAAAAAAATGGACTGCCCCACTCACCACGCCCTGGGAAATCTGGATGCTGGTTCTTTAACGTGGCAGCAAAGCAGTACTTTGCACATGGGAAAGCGTTAATGGCACAGAGGGATAAGCAGCAATAAATACAGAAAGCGTAATAGAGAGGTAGGGTGGGGAGCGTTTTCCATTCTGAGGATCACCTTCCTTTCCAGACCTTCTGGGGTCAAAAGTGGGCAGAGCACTGTACAAACAGGCTAGTTTCTACACATGGCTCACCCAACTCTCTCTTCGGCAAGAGGCATCAGTCTCAAGAGTTCAAGGACATATTTCAGCCAGGCAAAAGCACCCAAGGGTGGGGAAGCAGGGCAGGATTAAGACTACAGTGGATGCTCAGGTTGCGAACGTGATCCGTGCGGGACGCACGTCCGCAACCCGCAGCGTCGCGTCTGCGCAGGTTGCGATTCGTCTCGTCTGCGCAAAGCGCGATTTAGCACTTCTGCGCATGCGCGACCACCGAACCCCGGAAGTAACCCGTTCTGGTACTTCCGGGTTTTGGCATTCCGCAACCCAAGAAAACGCAACCTGAAGCGTCTGTAATCCGAGGTATGACTGTACGGCCTGGGGAAAATTCAGAGAGCCAGGTACAGAGGACCAGCTCCCCAAAACCCAAGGTTCCCCATGCCTGGCGCAACGGGACAGATAAAACAGGCAGAGATCCCAAGGAGCAGAGTCGGAGGTGTGGAAGGGAAAGTTGAGCCGAGGAAGCGAAAACTGGCAAAAGCTTAGGAACCAGGGATTTGCTCAGCAAAATTGGGAGAAGGCAGTTTAGGTGAGCCTGCACTGAACCCCTTCAGCCTTCAAGTGAGAAGGTTGCATAGCTGAAATGGTTCTCTGCAGATAAATAAATTCTCCACGCAGAAGCCTGAAGTGGTGCAGAGCAGAAGGTGGTTTGCTACCTCACCTAAAGATCATTTGCGGAAGGTTTCTGCATTTCATGCGCGTCTGATATGTGCACCACCACCGCCCTGCTGTGAACGTCCATGGCACCCTTTGAACCCAAACTGCCTCCCCCTGCTCTCTTCCACGGCCCCACTTTCAGCTTCCGCTAGGAAAAGTCACTGGCAAATATTTTACCGCCGTTGCCATAATAAATTGCAGGCCAAACCGCCCGGTTTGTGAAGACGGGCCGGCTGCATTCCTGGTTCTCCCCCGGGCAGAATGCGAAGACGGTTAGCTAAGGAGCACACACAGTTGTGCAAACTTCTCAGAAGTTAAGGAGGGCTTTTATTTAATACTGTTGGGTATTCAAGTACCAACATTGTCCCAATCTTCAATTGCTTAGCTGTACGTTCAGCCGCTCATCAGATCAGATGCTCAGATTCAGTATATGGCGGTATCCCATGTTCCTTCCTCAATCCGTCAGATGATCCACATTGTCATTATGACGGAGAAAAGGCAATTTATTTATTTTTTTTAAAAAGAGCAGAATACAATCTGTGTGCCTCACAGGGATGCCGTCAGATATTGTGACACAACGCCTGGTCTTTGGAAACAGGGGGTCACCCAAAAAATATCCCTGCAGCAACATCTACTGTCATTGCCAAATCAAACATTACACCACAAACAAGTCTTGAGATATGGGGAATGTTCCTCTTGATTTTTTTAAAATGACTAGACTGGGCAGCTAATCCAGGTTGGCAAATAAACGGGCAACCTTCACCGTCCCACTTTCCTCCACGCAAAACTATTTCAACAGTTTGTGGCACTGAAAGAAGTTCCGCAAGTTCCCGCTGTTGGGTTCACAGGTGAGACCGTAACAGCTAGAGAGAGCAGAACTAGATTGTTTCAAGGCAGGCACCCCCAAACTTGGCCCTCTAGCTGTTTTGGAACTACAGTTCCCATCATCCCTGACCAATGGGATGATGGGAGTTGCAGTCCCAAAACTGCTGGAGGGCCGAGTTTGGGGATGGCCGAGTTAGGGGCAAAGACCTTGCTCCTTGTGGATGTGAGTTGTTTCCCCTCGTTATGGGTCCAGCCCCAGCGTTTGGCTCCATATTGGATATAGTCTTAAGATACATTCCAGCTGGGGTGGAGATTGCAGCTCATCACCTCCTGGCTGCAGGTCACAGGGAGTGATTTCTTTTTTTAAAAACGGGCCCTCTGGTTGGGGAGATACAATCATAGTAAATACAACCTTTAAATTCCGGGCTCCACGTTTTAGCTGGCGGCATCTCAGGGGCAAAGTGCACACGGCGTTTATAGGCTTCCTAATGTTGTGCGTCTCTTTCTTGTTGCAGCAAACAGTGTGTGGCAGGGAAGAGCATCAACAAGACTCAGAATAAGGCTTTAACTCCCCACCCCAAAAATGCAGAGTTTCAACACACAAAGAGCAGGAGGGGCGGATTTTCTAGGGACACCACACATAATTCCACTTTTATTTTATCCATGCCATTTATCTTCCTTCTGGGAGAAGGCAGTCTGGGTTTCCCCCTGATAAGAGACAAGCTCCCAAGCATTCACACACAACTTTCAGTATTGCACAGGTTCAGTAAAGCCAAGAAGGCATTTCAGAGGCACACAGTCTTTAGCAGGGGTAGCCAACGTGGAGCCCACGTAGACACAGATCCCTGACCGTTGCGGCTGTGTTAGGAGTCAAACGTCCATGCTCCATGTTGGCTACCCCCGGTCTGAAAATACTACATTCTTTTCTTCCGGCGGCTGTTTTTAGAATACATTTGGACCAAGCATTGCTCTTTTCGACTACATAAAGTGAAGAAGATGCCCTAGCCGTGCCAGATTTTGCTACAGGAGATGCAAACAGGTGTGCTAAGACGACTCACTTTAAACAGGCCCCTTTCCTTAGCTAGCAGAGCTCTACTGCGGCCCCTGCAAATTTTACACCCCTAAAAGGCTTACTTTAAGAGGCATTTGCCCCCAGCCAGAAGTTAAAAGTTCTTTGCCAAGTCCGTACTTCTACTGAAGGGAGACTTGCCTCCAGTCTCAATGATGCGTTCGGGACGCATGACAGTACAGAAAAAAATCTGCCTTAGGAACTTTGATTGAACAGCTTCCAAAGTGCTAAGGTGGTTACCAGTCCAAATCAGAGCCCCGTGTAGTAGCTGTGCTAGGGGTTTGGCTCGGAAGACTTCTAGGGCTGATGGTATATGTTTGCCACCCTTTGTATGGAAAAAAATCAGAATAAGAGCCACTAACTGACTGCTGATTCAGGACTTTAAATTGTGCTTTTATATCAAATTTCCTTTTCTGCGTATACTGTAATGTTTTACTGTTGCTATGGCCATTGGGCTAATGCGAATAAAGTTTTATTTTATTTATTTGCCCCCAGCCACTCTGGTGGGATCTGAGCACATCTCCTGAAAGAGGATTGGCCCTAACAGCGACTCCCATAAAACCAGGAATATTTTTTTGATGGGCTTTTAAAAAAATAAAATAAAATTGGGAGCAGCTGAATCCAGTCACTCCAATCACATCCCAGTGGGGAGATGGGGCAGAGCCCCACTTCCTGCCCTCCAACGAAGGTTGTCTGGGAAGGAGGCAGGGCCATGCAATAGCTCTGGGTGTTTTTATTTCTTGATGCCGCAAGTTTGCCCACGAGACCCGGCTTTTCAGCTGTGAAACATAGCAGGTGCTGCTGAGTTGTACTGATTAAGCTGTGTCAGCAATTGGGTGTAGTATATAAGGAGCAGCACCTAGCTCTCCCATTACCCTGGGGGATGGGTTGGTGGTTGGGTCATGTTTGTTTGTTGATGTATTTTGTGTATAAGGAGTTTTTGTAATTAAAACCTTGTTTAAGTTATTTTTGAGTCCCTTTTTAATGCATGGTCTCCCCAGCAAGCTCTCTGCAGCGTTACTATACTGCAAATAGCCAACATCTTTGGTTATGGGCCCAGTTGCTGAGTGGATGACTGCATATTTTTTGGACTCTGAGAAAGGTTTGAAAACTCCTTCTCCTGTTGGCGTAGTTCTGTGGGTCTGGAAGAGTTCCAGAATGGTTGACCGGGTTCCTGAAGCTGAGAAGGCTCTGGTCTTCCCACAGCTGACAGATGAGAACTATAGTTTATGGTCTTTTTGGGTGGAGGCGCTCTTGACCTCTAGAGAAGGATGGACCTATGTAACTGATGACCCTCCTAACCCTGTAACTAATGCTTGGTCGAAAGGAGATGCAAAAGCCAGGGCGATAATTAATTTGGCAGCCAGCGACCAGCATGTAGTCTATATAAGGAATAAGAAAACTGCCAAAGAAATGTGGGACAGTCTTGCAGCAGTGCATATTAGAAAAGAGTCAGCGTCTGCATTGACGTTTTTCAAGCAGCTGTACCAGACCAAGTTGCAGCCTGGTGGTGATTTGGCAGCACATTTGAGACGTCTGGAGGCAATACGCGGCGAATTAATTCGAAGGGACATGGAGATACCTGATATTCAGTATGTTTTTATCATTCTTTGTTCCCTTAACGAGGACTTTGATGGTATAGCTAGCCAGATATCTGCCGTTCCACCAGCACAATTAACTGTGGAAGGGGTAACGGCAAGATTAATGGGCGAGTTGGACAGAAGGGAGGCTTGTGCCATAAGCACTCCTATTTCCAAAAAGAATGAGGAACCCCATACACAAACTTGTGGTGATACAACTGCATTTAAAGCTGCCAAGTGTTGTTGGTTCTGCAATAAGCAAGGACATTTTGCAAAGGACTGCAGATCCAAAAGAAAGCAAAGTACTCCCAAGTCTGTTTCTGTTCGTCAGTCACGGTCGTCAGCCCAGCAGCCAACATTGTATAGTAGAGAAAGAAACGAGCCGCGAGCTTTTTACACTCTGACTACAGATCGTAAAAGAATTAAAGGTGCCAAGTGGAATTCTTTTATTGTGGACTCAGGAGCATCCCAGCACATTTGCAACGATCGAAGCTTGTTTATTTCTTTCGAAGAGGAAATTGGTAATGTACATTTAGCCAATTCACAAGTCTTGCAGTCGCTTGGCAGGGGTACTGTTAAACTTGACTCTTTAAACATTACAATAGCAAACTGCATTTACTGCCTGTCAGTGGACAATTTATTATCAGTAAGGTGCTTTGCTCGTCAAGGCATAACTGTGCGTTTCTTAAAGTCAATGTGTGAGTTTTTCAAGGGGAACAAACGTCTATTGTGTGCCCGGGAATCTGATGGTTTATATAGACTGTACTTTTGCACCTACTCACAATCGCCTATAAACTGCAGAGCAGCACAGTCAGGCCAGGGGTTGAGGAATGTAAGGCCACATTCCGGGTGTGTCCATGAGGCGCACAGAGTTCTAGGACATTTAAATTTTGCTGATGTAATTAAGACAAAGAATATTGCTAATGGCCTCAACTTAAAACCATGTAAAATCTTTATGCAATGTCTATCCTGTTGCAAGAATAAGATCAAGGTTGCACGCAAGGGTAGGTGCTCAGATAGGAAAGTAACTGAGCCATTTGAGCATGTACATTGTGATTTAGTTGGGCCACTCCCACCATCATTAGGAGGTTCTAAGTACTGGCTTACCCTGATAGACCAGTATAGCAGATATTGTTGGACTTATGCAATAGCTGAGAAGTCCCAAGCATTTGAGAAGTACAAGGTTTTTTGCAACTGGGTAAAAACGCACTTTAACAAACCTATTAAGAACCTGTTTTCTGACCGGGGCGGGGAATTTGTTTCTGAGGATTTTGAGAAATTCCTGGAAGCGCAGGGGACTACTCATGAGTTATCTTGCCCCCGAAGTCCCTGGCAAAATGGGCTTGTTGAAGTTGTGCAGCGTGACTTGCAGGCAGGGGTTAAAACTTATCTGCATGATGCTAATCTGCCCAAAGACTTTTGGGCTGAAGCGCTCCATGCCTTTTGTTATGTTAGAAATCAGTTATCATTCTGGTTTAGATGTCACCCCCTATGAGAAGTTGTTTAAAAAATGCCCTAATTTGAAATACCTACGCATTTGGGGTTCGGATGTAATTATGCATTATCCCGCTAAGCAGAAATTGGGTGAGCGTAGTGTTCAGGGAAAATTAATGGGCTACCAGCAGGGGGTGTACAGAATTTACATACCAGCAACTGGCAAATTTCATATTACCAGAAGCGTGATACAAACTGTAAATTGGAATGGGGTTGCTGTTTTCCAAGATGCTAACGGTATAGATGATACTGAGGAAGAAGAGGTAGAAGCAGCAGCAGCAGCAGGAAATGGTGCTTCTGAATTAATGGAAGAAGACAAAAAGCCTGTTGAATCTGATAATTTGTTTGATTTAAAGTCACAGGCACCCGAGGAGAGGTTAGATTCTCTTGAGTTTTCTGACCGTGAGCTTAGCCCACAGGCATCTCTTCAGTCTGACAATGATGATTTACAACCTGAAACTAGTAGTTTACATAGTCCCATTAAGTCTGAGTCTGACTCTCCTTCCGGACTAAGACGTTCAGATAGAAAGAGGCAGAAGCCACAACATTTTGGAGATGAACATTTTAATACTGTGTTTGCCAATAAGGCGGTTTTTGAGCCAAAAAGCTACAATGATGTTCGGAATTTACCTAAGCACCAAGCTGCAAATTGGTATAAAGCTATGAACTCTGAAATAGCTTCTTTAAAAGAGCATAACACTTGGTCTCTTGTACCACAAACCCCAGATATGAGACTTATTGATTCAAAATGGGTTTATAGAGTTAAAATGAATGACAAAAATGAAGTTGTAAGGTACAAGGCAAGATTAGTTGCTAGGGGTTTTCAACAAATTCCAGGCGAAGATTATGATTTGTGCTATTCACCAAGTGTAAAATATGAAACAGTTAAGCTTTTGTTAAAAGATGCATCACAACGTGGACATTCTGTTTATCACCTAGATATAAAAACTGCATATTTGTTTGCAGATTTAAAAGAACAAATTTTTATGCGTGTTCCTGAAGGCATAGACGCCGCTGAAGGTTTGGTATGCAAATTAAATAAATCCCTTTATGGTCTGCACCAAAGTGGAAGGAATTGGCACCAAACTTTAGCAAAAGAATTGCTGGATATTGGGTTTTCACAGGGAAAGGCAGACAATTGTGTGTTTATAAAGGAAAGGGCAAACTCTGTAGCAAAAATATGTGTGTATGTAGATGACGTGTTAATTTCTACAAAAACTAAACAGGAATATGAACAGGTAGTAACACAGTTACAGAAGAAATTTGATGTGGTGGAATTAGGCACAGCTAAAAATTACTTATCCATGCAAATTGAGAAAGGCAAAAATGGATCTTTTCTAGTTCAGCAAACTGCAAAAATTGATGATCTTGTTGAAATGCTATGTTTAGAAAATGCAAATGGGAAGCAAACGCCTATGGTGTGTGGTTTCACCTTTACAGGTGAAGATAAGCCATTTCCTAACAAAACTTTGTATCGTTCTGCTATAGGCAAGCTAAATTTTATTCAAAGAATCTCAAGACCAGATATAACTTATGCTTTTCACTTTCTGGCAAAATTTGTGGATAAGCCCACTACGCAATGTTTCTCTGCTCTTAAGAGAGTGGTGATGTACCTTAAACATACCAAATATTATAGGTTGCAGTTTACAACATGTATTGACAAAGGTTTTGAAATTTTCTGCGATGCATCTCACGCAGTGGAACAAAATAATTGCAGGGGTGTGTCTGGTATGGTGTTTTGTTATAACGGTTGTCCATTTGAATGGAAGTCCCAGACACAAAACATTATTTGTCTCTCCACAACAGAGAGTGAATTATGTGCATGCGTTCAGGCCACTCGTGATGTAGAATGGTATCTGCAAGTATTCGCAGACCTACAGATGCAAGTAACACTACCAGTAAAAGTTTACCTTGATTCCCAGAGTGGACTCGCTATCCTATGTTCAGAAACCAATACGCAGCGCACTAGAGTCTTAAGATTACGTTTAGAATTTGTAAAGAAACTAATTGCTGATGAAATGATTGTCACCTGGAACATATTGAAATACAATCAAATTGCAGACATTTTTACTAAAGCTCTTCCAAAGGTTACACATGAAAGACATGTACAAAATATGCTTTATGTTTCTGTTCCACAATGATGAACCGCAGGGGAAATGTTGAATGGTTTCTTTAAATGTAAAGGTTCATCATTGTTCCACCCGATGTGTATGTCTTTAAGGGGCCAGAGCAAAATAACGAGACCCGGCTTTTCAGCTGTGAAACATAGCGGGTGCTGCTGAGTTGTACTGATTAAGCTGTGTCAGCAATTGGGTGTAGTATATAAGGAGCAGCACCTAGCTCTCTCATTACCCTGGGGGATGGGTTGGTGGTTGGGTCATGTTTGTTTGTTGATGTATTTAGTGTATAAGGAGTTTTTTGTAATTAAAACCTTGTTTAAGTTATTTTTGAGTCCCTTTTTAATGCATGGTCTCCCCAGCAAGCTCTCTGCAGCGTTACTATACTGCAAATAGCCAACAATGCCCGCTCCTGGGCATCTCCACGGAAACAGCGCCTGGAATGCCTCACTCTGGTATTAAAAGCGTTAACAGCTACGACATGTTGTGGTGGGCAAGTTATGGAATTTCTCTGCAGAGAGCTCTGAATGGCACCCATGAGCCTCTCCCCCCGTGCTGGGCTTTGCCCTCCCTGCGTGGGCAAAACATTGGCCAGCCTTGCTTCTCTGCACAGCAAAGAGCGAGAGACACACTGGGTTTTCTTATTGTTTACCGCGTAACCGCTTATCACGCTGCTACAAAAGAGCTCCGAATCAGGAGCCCGCGATTTCGCCTCGCTCTCAGAAACATGCCAAACACACGTAAGGTTGAGAGGGAAACCGTAAGACGAAGAAGTCCGGATGGGAAGGCAAAACAGCCCCTTGGGTCTTCCCATCCCATATGGAAAAGCAAGAGGAGGCCGGGGTGGGCAGGCGCACGGCAGAAAAATGCGACTTGGCAGACTTTTCACTTTCTTTCTTCATTCACCCACTATTTGGTGCGGAATCGGTACTTCTAAAGTAAGCTGCAAGCCTTCATGATATTGGCTATAATTATTACTACTATTTGTGATTTCCAAGATACTTAGAAATGCGGGGAAACAGCATAGGGCGGGCATGGGCAAACTCGGCCCTCCAGATGATTTGGGACTACAATTCCCATCATCCCTGACCGCTGGTCCTGTTAGCTAGGGATGATGGGAGTTGTAGTCCCAAAACATCTGGAGGGCCGAGTTTGCCCATGCCTGGCATAGGCAGTGTTTGCAACATGTGCTTTTTGGGGTGGGAGTAGCATGGTCAATTGGGTGGATTTGTAGAGGACAAATGCAAAAGGGTTCAATCCCTAGCATCTCCAGGTAGGACTGGGGAAAAAGATCTTGCCTGAATCCTGGAAAGCAGCTACCAGTCAGTGTAGACAATACTGAACTAGAGAGTGATCCTGGAAACTAGGCTCAGCACAAGGCAGGTTCCTATGCCCCTACAAGCAATGTGCTTGGACAGGGTAGGAGAGGGGTTTGTGGGCCGATGGGGTTTGGGCTCGAGAGAGGCAAATGCCACTGGCTACCGACAGCCTGAAGACTTGAGGCTATCGAGGCCACATTGCACATCACTGATCGGTAACCGAATACAGGCAGGAGATACCAAACATGAATCGCAGGCCGGCCAATTCACATAAGAGCCAAAAGAAAACCAAAGGGAAGTCAACCATGAGCAGTGTTGGAAACTCAGGTGCGTAAGCTAGGTGCCAAATGGCTGCTTAAACCAGTCGCCAAAACGGAATGCCTAGATGCCATTTGGGGGACCAGGCGGCTCAAAAAAAAATAATTCATATTTTTCAATGCGACTTTTTGTTTCCTGAAATTCGTTCTGATTCTGCAGATATAAAATAGCGGGTAGGATTCTACAGGGTGTGTTGCTAGTGTGTGAAAACAGATCCAAGGATCCCCAGGCACGCGCCTCCAGATGGGGGAGACGTTAGGCACTATCCTGGCAAGCGGGCATCTGAACTTGGTCACTAGAGGCCGATAAAGGTAAAGGGACCCCTGACCATTAGGTCTAGTCGTGGCCGACTCTGGGGTTGCGGCGCTCATCTCGCTTTACTGGCCGAGGGAGCCGGCGTACAGCTTCCGGGTCACGTGGCCAGCATGACTAAGCCGCTTCTGGCGAACCAGAGCAGCGCACGGAAACGCCATTTACCTTCCCGCTGGAGCGGTACCTACTTATCTACTTGCACTTTGCTGTGCTTTCGGACTGCTAGGTTGGCAGGAGCTGGGACCGAGCAACAGGAGCTCACCCTGCTGCGGGGATTCGAACTGCCGACCTTCTGATCGGCAAGTCCTAGGCTCTGTGGTTTAACCCACAGCGCCACCCGCGTCCCAATAGCCAGGTGTAAAGTGCGCCTGGCAAATTTCAAACACGAAGCAATGCCCTTCCTCAGACTTCACGAAGGGAAAATGATCTTGTGAATGCAGTCCTTTTCAGCAGAGCAGGGGTGGGCAAGCTTTTTGGCCCTTCCCCCACACCTCAACACTGTCAATCAGCTGGGACCATGCACCTGTCAATCATCTGATGTCATAACGGCATCCGGGGTTTGACAGGTGTTTGTAGCGTCTGCCTGTCAGCCAGCTTGCAGGGTTGAGGGGGAGATAGCAATGAACGGCTTACGCATGGGGAGTTCAATCTAAGAAGCAGTGACCCCTAATCTCAACCGTGTGGGAACTCTTATTGCATGAGCACAAGGTGTGGGTGGAAAAATGCACTTTTGCGATTCTTCCCCTTTTAAGTGGCTGGAAAACTCAGGAAGGCAGCAAATATTCCAAACGAAGAGAAGCAAAAGCAGAGCAAAAAAATAGCATGAGCGTTTGTTCTGGGCGTCTTGGTTATGAATAGCCTGTGCCTTTTTGCTTAAGGGATGTGGAGGTTTCGGGTACCAGTGCCATTCAGGAGCTTCTTAAACAAACTGAGCTGCCTCGTTAGCTCAAGAGAGGCTGCTGACTTTAGCCAAAGCACACAGGAGCTCAAAGCATGCAGGGAAGAAAAGCAATGCAACAAAACCACATTTCCTTCACCATCCGGCAGAATCCGAACAGCTCAATTCTTAGCTCCTCACAGTGTAAGAAGCACCCAAGGCAAAAATCCTGCTCAACATTCAGGGATGTCTACCAAATTGGCAAAACACATGCACACCCCCATCAGCTTTCAGGTAGCATAACTGTAGAATTAGGTATACGTCTCTTTTTAACAACCTCTGAAGCAACAGTCCAGAAAAGCGCAGATGGCCAATTGACACTTTTCTTCGTTTTAGGAAGGCACAACCCTAACTTTCTTATTACGTTTTTATTCTGTCCATCCTCCAAGGAGATCAGGGTGGCATACCGAGTATTCTCAAAACAACCCTGTGAGGTAGGTTCGGCTGAGAGATAAGAGATTCAAAAGATGTCACCTGTGCATCTGAACAGCTGTGCATGGATTTTGTACTCCGGAAGGCAGGCAGGTATGAATTAAATTTGTTTGGGAACGAGAAGTGGCGATTGGTTACCTCCAGGTAACTATTTAGGACTGCAACGAAAGTCCGGCTTCACAGTTCACATCTCCAATTGGTCGGAGGGCGAGAGCTAAGGCAGGTTTGCTCCTTTGGCCTACAATTATCCCATGGAGAGGGAGTGGTTTTCGAAGGGGTGGTTCTCCTACTCTGGTTCAAAACATTTTGCAGCTGCACAGTGATCAGAGAAATGTGTCCCAGCATACTCTACTGTTCCACAAGGGATCCTGGGTCACACCTCTCTAGCTAATACTGTTTCATTGGTTCCACAAGTAACCACTGGGGTGGACAACTGGACTTCTGTTTATGGGCTTCTGTTATTTCTGTTTATCACTGACTTAACAGCAAATTTCACAAACTTTTTGCATGTGGAAAGACACTCCCCCTATCAAATTAAAATCCCCCCATCTGTAAAGGAAACAGGACATTTCACTCAGTTAAGAGAATAACACTCCTACCCCAGCTCCCCTTATCGTGTGCAAATTGCTAAAGAAACCAGTTTTTGGAAAACCAGAGTAAAGCCCCGGACTGTTAGGATGTAGCAGCAGACATACAGAGTGTGCCCGAGAACACAGAGACCCCTATAAAGATCAAATAGATGGTCTGTCCGTTCCTGACTGGCTCAAATGACGCTCAGACATGTTTTCACCCACAAATGAAAATTCTGGCCAGCCAAACAAAAACCTCTGTAACCCACCATCAAGAACAGAAAACACACTTGCTTTCTGTGAGCAGCACAATCTGCCAGCCCAGCAGCTCCAAAAGTATTGTATACAGAAATCCCACGCCCTCGTTTTGATACCTCAAGCACAGAAAAACCTCTAATCGTGGCTTCTGTAGATAGGCTGGCTCTTGTTTCTACAGATTCTCTGCAGCTCCAGAGGGAAGGGAAGGGGGATATTCCTTTGCAAGAACGTTCAACACGCCAGTCCAAGTGGTTTATTGTAGACTCTCCTGATGCATCTGGGGTAAGTTGTCTCTTCAGTGTTGGTCAAATGTCCTCGTCATTGCTTCTTTGCAGATTCTTGCTTATTGGTCGATTCTACTAAGAGAACAGGCCAAATCCCAAAGAGAAACTATTGAAAGGAAGGGAGAAAAGGGGTTCTTAAGACTGCTGGGCCGAAACATAGAAACACAACACACATACCTCCCTGGAGATTGCCAACTGATCAGACAAATCCGGTTTTGGCTCCTGTTCATTTAAAAGCAGCTTGATCTGTAGAGGCCAGTGGGTTTTCATAGCACGCAAGCAAGAAGATTGTCACTTGCTAATGTCCATGGACCAAGCTGCTGTTAAAGACATAGGAGCCAGGGGAATGAATGTGATTAATAAGTAGTAATTCCAGTTTACGCAGTGTTTATACACAAGAGCATCTGGGTGACTCTCTCTTCTGAGAAACGTTTATTGGTTTAATAGGCAAAAAAAGATGAAGAGCTGTCATACTGTACATGTCTGATACTCTGATACTGAGTTGAAACCTTGGTCCATTTAGCTCAGTACAGTCAACATTGACAGCAGCTCTCCAGGGTCCCAGGCTCAGGAAGTCTCTCCCAAGCCTACCTAGAGATGCTCGCAAGACTGAAACTGGGACCTTCTGAATGTATACACACAAGGCAGATGCTCTCCCACTGAGCTGTGGCATCTCCTGGACTCAGTGAGACATGTACAAGCAACCAGGAATTTTAGCCGGCTTGGGAAAGACGACGTTAACCTTCACATTAGGAGAGGCAATTCACATGGCCTGGAGATAGGCGCAAGAGCAGCCGTTATGTGCAGAGAAGCGTTCTCACTGCTGCAATCCCGGGATCCCGAACCCTAGCACTGCGGCACTGGGAGAAAGCCATTTGGGGACCTCTTGTCATCAGAACAAAGGCACCTTTGTTAAGGCAAGGGGAAAGTGGACTGGCCCCAGCCTTCAGAGGAGTGCAGTTGCTGAAGGAAATTTGCCTCCCTGCCAGAAACTGAACGCTCTGCTCCAACTGCCCCAGGGACTGTGGAGGGCGGCGACCCGTGGCCCCATTTGCCAGCTGGGGGTGCATGGGCTCCTGGGTTTTTAATATTAGTGCAGGCACCTCCATGGCACTGCTTTCAATGCCTACAAAGAACGGTTTCGTTTAGGCAACCATACCCAGACACGTAATTTTAATTTGTACGTCTGCTTTTCACACTGTTGATTTTCTCTGCATTTTGATGATGTTATTCCTGCATTGCGGGGGGTTGGACTAGATGACTGTTGGGGTCCCCTCCAACTCTATAACTCTACGCTTCTTTGTCTGCTGCTTTTAAAGTCTGTTTTAATTCCTATGTTTGCTTAGTGTTTTATACCGCCTTATGCTTTCTTTAAGAGTACCTGCTATACAAATCTTGTTAAGAAAATTAATATACACATGAAAGGTAGTGCAGTTACTCGATCAAAAGGCACCTTCAAAAATGACATTTACTTTATTATATTTTCATTTTTACGCATTTCACAAGGCCAGAGCGGGTTACAACATCAAGGGTAATACAAGGAAAGAGCAACAACCGTCATCACCCATCTAAATGCAAACCAGTTAAATCACTCAACAGAAAATTCCTTAACAGCCTAAGCAAAACAGCAAAGCGAGAAAGCAAGACAATCCTTTATCTCCACCCAGTGACACAAAGCTTTAAAATGCTGTAGGCTGCATGCTGGAGACGCAGCCCCGCTCCCCTTGACCCCTCCGTCTGTCCAAGCAAATGACTTGGCAAGGACTTCCAAAGCTTAGCTCTTCCTCCTTCTGTCTGCCCTAGAAAGCACTGAGCGTTCTGCGAAAGTGAAGCAAGTTCTTAGCAGCTGGGCTGTCTCTTGGAAGCTTTTCCAACTGTGGCACTGGGCAAACCTATTTTAAAGTAGCGTATTTTTCGCTCTATAAGACGCACCAGACCACAAGACGCATCTAGTTTTTGGAGGAGGAAAACAAGAAAGAAATATTCTGAATCCCAGAAGCCAGAATAGCAAGAGGGATTGCTGCGCAGTGAAAGCAGCAATCCCTCTTGCTGTTCTGGCTTCTGGGATAGCTGTGCAGCCTGCATTTGCTCCATAAGACGCACACACATTTCCCCTTACTTTTTACCCAGCTCTACCTCTCTTTTAAATCAGAACCAGTGAAGGCGGTGAAGGTCCTGTGTGAGTGTCTGGAGGCGGTTGGAGGATGGATGGCGGCTAACAGATTGAGGTTGTATCCTGACAAGACAGAAGTACTGTTTTTGGGGGACAGGAGGCGGGCAGGTGTGGAGGATTCCCTGGTCCTGAATGGGGTAACTGTGCCCCTGAAGGACCAGGTGCGCAGCCCGGGAGTC